ACGGCGGGAGCAGCGCCGGAGGCGCCCACGTGGCAGTGGCTCCGGGGACCAGTCCCCGCAGCGGGAACCCGGCAGTGCCCAGCTCGCAGGACTTCCTGCTGCTCCCGGAGCTCCATTCGCCCAGCCTCAGCTGCCGGCCCGCCACCTTTGTCCAGCCCTCGTCCGTCTTTCCGTCTCCGGGCTCGGCCTCCACACCGGCTGCCTGGCCTTTCCAGTGGGCCGGGGCCCCTCCGGCTGGGCGCACGCTGAGGCCTCCCCTCCTCTACTGGCGCCTGGAGGGCTTGATCCTGGCACGGGACGGGCGGTCCATAGCGGACGCCCTCGGGCTGCAGGGCCCGGGCAGTGGCGCCTCAAGGCCGGGGTCCGAGGTGGCACCTCGGCCCCCAGCTGTGCCCTCCTGTACCACTGGGGTCCAGCGAGACCCAGAGAACCGGGGCGAGTGGCGGGAGAGAGTGACAAGGCGCAGGCCCGCGAGATACGCCGGGGCACCGGAGTGGCCTTCAGGGAGCGTGCCCTGCGCAGGGACTGGTCAGGGTGGGGTCGTTCAGATGGCGCACACACCCTGCTGAGCCGAGGGAGGTGTGCAAGGTGCTCCCCAACCAGGGCGCCGGCGGCCTCTGCGCCCTTTCCTCTCAAATCCGTGTCCTTGATTCATTGTAAGATTTTATTCGCCATCATTTTTCAGAATTTAAAAAGCCGGACAAGGCCGAGGGTAAGGGGGAGCGGGGCCTGAGGTGGTCGCCCTTCTCCTGCCGCACTGAGGCGGTGGCCAGGAGCATGGCGGCATCTGGCCAGAGGCAGGGCCTCGGCTTGGGGAGCAGGGCCTCCTCGCCTGGGTGCCGTCCCGCCCCAGCACCCAGCACCCAGCACCCACCCACTCCCTCTCTGCCCCGGGGTTGAGCTCCCAGGCTGACAGTGCCCTTCGGGGGCCTCCTGGCAGTAGGGGGGCCAGACTGGGGAGGCACGGTCTCTCCTCCAAGAATGGAGACCCTGTGAAACCCGGCCAGTCCCGCGGCACAGTTTGGGGACGGCACCTCTCCTGTCCTCGCCCTCCCAGCAGCCGGAGGTGGCCCAAACGCTGCCTTCCTCCTGCCCCGCAGCCTGCCCCGGCCCCTCCGCCACCCTCTCACCAGCTGTCGTGCCCGGGCATGCATTCTGGAGGTCCCCGTCGTGCCCTGGCACACAAAGCTTTGAGGACCCGGGGGCGGGGGCGGGGGGCTTTCCCAAGCTCAGCAAAATATTCACACACACACTCCACCCTGCCCCCAGCCCGCCGTGTGCTCCCACCGCACAATGGGCCCTTGTCTCGGGGCTCCCTTCGAGCAGCTGTGGCACTGGGGCATGAGACAGCCCAGACAGGCTGGCACAGAACGGGCGACCTCCCCCCTCGGGTTGCCAGGCACTGCCTGTGAGCATAAAGGTGAGGTGGGGGAGGGGCCGCCA